GAGTTGTGGTGTGCACACAAGCGCCAAAACACCGTGACGCTTGGTAATGACACCAACAACAGGTTGGAGGCCTCGTGGAAGCAGTTGAAGGAGTGGGTAAACTCTTTCATGGCAGCGGACGAATGCATAGCGTCGATTATGTATTACCAGAGTCTTCAAGAGCGACGAATTATCGATGAGGTGTACAAGAAGGTTAATGTCCAGCCTGTTGGTTACGATCGCGAAATGACGTTGGTTGCAAACCTCGTCAGTGAACATGCATGCGAGTTAATACACGATCAGTATTGCTACGCACTTGATCGTGCATCTTACGTCTTTTCCGAGAGAGCGCCAGGTGTGTACTTTGTGAAGAGTACATCCCCCGATGAAGACGCCCTCGATGAGGTAGACGCAGAGTACACTATTACGACACACGACTGGACTTGCTCGTGTCTCTTTATGAGTACACGTTTATTGCCGTGTCGACACGTCTTCTTTCTTAGAAGAGCACTAAACAAGGAGACTGTTATCCCGACTCAACTGCTGCATCAGTGATGGGTCCTGTCGTCTGTACGGTCGTCGATAGAGTTCGATAACGCCAGTGATGTTCCTACTTCTGTGGAATCTTTTGCTGTTCGAAGGGTATTTGTGGCCGATGAGCGGCCATGGGATTCGAACCGGAAGTACCGAGAGGCCTTGCCTATTGCTAGTACAATTTGCGATTCGATGGCTGGTTTAGGCATGGTCCAATATCGTGAAGCAATATCTTATTTAAAGGCCGTCGCCCACCGTTTCAAGGTTGGAGATTTTTCTTCATCGATTAAGATGCCGACAATCAGTGAAGGTACGCGCGACGATGTCTTCGACTCAGATACCGTGGGCGAGGCTGAAGTGGAAGCACTGAATTATTACTGCCTGGATTATTACAGCCTTCTACGCAGATTACACCTCAGTCTGGCGAGTCTGGCACCCAGTCTGGCGAGTCTGGCACCCAGTCGGTTGAGTCTGGCATCCAGTCTGAAGAGTCTGGCATCCAGTCTGAAGAGTCTGGCATCCTGTCTGGAGAGTCTGGTTCGGTGTCGGCCGAGCTTATTTGTCAGACTGGTGCGGAGACTTCAGCTTCTCATGCGACTCTGCAACCGGTCGAAAATGATACATTTGATGTGGCGAGCCCTCCAAGGTCCCGAGGTCGCCCAAAGCAAAGTGCAAAATCCAAGAAAGCAGCTCGCCGCAAAAATGTTTTGATGGTGCAAGATGATTCAAATTTGTACTCGGATAATTTGAGTTTAGCAACAAGACAAGACGACGCCGTACGCATTGAGTCAACATACGAGACATCTGCCGCAATTGTATCCAAATTTAAGATGTTCGATTTCACAAAATTCCCGAGCTCCAGTTGCCCACAAGGTAGCAAGACTTCCCGCCTCAAAAAAGATCGTCTCTGCTGAGTCCATCCCCCGAATTTTCCGAAAGTATATCCTTGATAGATGCAGTGCCAAAGTGCTAGCTCTTCAGATGGCACACAAGGAATCAAGTGATCAAAATCTAGGTGAGAAGGACATTGTCGTGGAAATTGTTGGAGTAGGTACCTACTCCACCGAGACTCTGGGTGTCATGAAGAAGTGGCACAAAGCGATGAAAACCATCCAATATGTGGAAAAAGCTATCGTTTGGATTGATACCATCGATTTCGAACTCCAAATGCCCCGATGGTTTTGTGTTGATCTTGATCCTAAGGCGCAATCCAAGATCAAATCTATTCCTTTACTATCGGTGCAGGTACGCAGTTGCATACAGTCAGGCCCCGCAATGGAAATGCTAATATCTACTGCTGTGTAATTGCACATAGGCTGAAGCACTCGAACTCGTCGGCAAGTCTGCGTTAGGCGACAGCACGGTCAATAAGCTGATGTTAAAGTTGTTCGCAGCGAGAGAAGACACGATTGCTGTAGACACGTCAATCGCCGGTAACGTCATGAATGGTTTCTTAGCGGTGGAGACTATGAAGGACGTGTTTGCTGGCATGACAAACCAAAAGATTTTGATTCCTGTCATCTGCAACAAGAATCACTGGTGTGCGGTTATGATGGATCTGTCGCTTAAAGAAGTTTTTATCTATGATCCAATGAGCTCAAGCTACGGCGTAAAATTTTGACCTCTCGCTTAGAAGATAGTAGCATTGCTGCCAGATTTCGCTACAAGAAAATACCGAATTCGACCATACACGAGCGAGCTTGGAGTGCAGGTTGATAGCTACAATTGTGTAAATTCCTTCTACCCAAGGTAGATTCTTTATTACAATCCTTATCTACCTAAGACCTGCTATCAATTACTTACAGGATTTGCGTCTCCGTGGCGTACCTTGTGCACGCTTGCTTCACATCAACTACCGGCTGCGACCCTACAATTGTGGCATGTATATGCTGTTAGCTTTTGAGATATTTGCCGGTGCTGAAAACCTATATCTGCTAAGTCGGAAGGAGCTACAGTATTTGCGCTATCGGTACCTGTGCATGTGCATTTAATGCAACTAGTTTTTCAATGATTTGGTCTTTTGTTAGTGTGTTTGATGCGTTGACTACCTCCAGGTTATTCCCCCTGTACTTTGTCTTGAGAGTTAGATGCTGAATGTCTTGCGGGCTCAGTTTCAAAGCCAACACACTGACATCCGGTTATACGTATACTCCGAAGACACGTCAACTGATGACACGTCCGGCTCTTCCTGAGTCTGGCATATTCGGGCATGCTAATCGGTTGTATTCTGGTGTAACTGTACTGTCTGTTGTTACCCAGTCTGGCTAAATAACGAGTGTCAATTAATAAACGCTCAAATGAACGAGGCGGAGCGCTGTGCAAAAAAAAACAAATGGTTATCTTTTTCCGAACGGAGGTACTATTTGGGCAAAACTAAAGGAGTTTGAGCGGACGAAGATCAACCCTGAAAGGTTGTGATTGCTGAAAACCGAGGTCACATTGTTAGGTATACCCCGCCCAGCACTCCGATTTGCAGCCCATTGAGACTGTGTGGGTCATCGTGAAAGGCAAAGTAGGCCGTCAGTATTCCTCGGGAACATCATTCGCTGAGGTGAAAGCTTGGTTAGCAGCGGCGTTTGACAATTAAAAGCCGTCCACCGTGCAAGGGTGCATTCGTTAGGCTGATTGTACGCTAGAAGACAATTATAAGGCTGTATTTCAAGCGGAGGGTAACGACATAGATAGTGATGGGAGTGCCGAGTCCGACATAGATAGTGATACTTCACAGTCAAATTGTAGCTCTGATGCTGAGGAGGACTAAAATGACTGGGGTCGTGGGTATTTGTACACATCATGCTGTGTTTGTGCTGCTTCTTCATATTTTCTGTGTAGAATAAGAAAATGCTGGAAAAATAATTGCTTTTATCAGGACCCCTCTTCGGTGTCCGGATCTGTGAGCCAAACTATAGCTGTTTACTCACTGTTATCTTTGTTCTTACTTGTCTGTGTATCCGTTATGTTACAGGTCCACGTTCATGCCTCCTCGGCACTGGCGCACTGTCGGGGGCTTCTTGCGATTGCAGTAGCCAAGTGAGCTGTATGGTACAAACGGCCCCCCTACATGTGCTGGTAAAGACAGTCTGAATAAAGACACATTTCATTTAAACAGTTAATACAGCTCTTACCTGTGTAAATAACTGTATTTACGTGGGACGATGCGTAATTACCCTTTAATTTGCTAACTTGATTTAATTGAAGTAGCAAAAATGCTCATCCTTCCAATGGGTCTTCTATTCGGCATATTACAGTGTAAAGACCTCTCTGGGTACACTGTACCATGTCTGATGCACCGTCTAAACACCAGTTGTATTTTTAGATGGTCTTTTGGGGTGTTTAAACGCGTCTGTATGATCAGACGTACTTCGAAGTATAAACACCCACTGCCACCACTGCTGAGCAGTGACTGCTGATGCTCTCGCTCGCGCCGAGCAAGAACTTCAACTAGAGCATAATACCGTGTATAAGGCGATGAAGCCACGTGGAAAGCATGGTCTGATACTCTTTCCAATTTGCCTTCATCAGACACATAATCTTTCAGGCGTGTTTACAGGTTGTTTACCACATATTAATAGCCGCTGAGACTGAAAACTCGCTCTTGAACAGCAGCCGACAATGGGTTTGCTAGGTATATCCTAGCCAAAATAGCGATAACGGGGTGGTCCTTCTCGCCATGGCAAGTAAGCCATACTATCAATAGAGCACCGACTTCTTGGTACAGATGCAACACGTCGTTCTTACCACCTTGTGGTGGGCATATCCACTTCACGAATGTGCTCTTCCACTCTTTCCACCTGCAGATTGCAGCAGGATGTCGTCATGCATACTTCGAGCACCGTCACTTGCAGTTGGTACTTCGGCTTCAAGTAGTCGGCTCAGAACATTACTAAGTCTATGCTGCTCGACTTCTACGCTCCGTTTTGGGGTTGTTTATCTGCGTGTTTACACTCGTCTGAAGAAACTTAAACAGTTGCTGGAAGAAGCTGGATATTCAATGCACGTTTTTTTGTATTTGTATAATAATAAAACGACTGTGGCCAGGATTACCCAAAACCGTTAAATACGGTCGGAATGAGACAACATTTCTTGGCACAGCACAAAACTAAAAATATTAGTTGGCTCACTTAAATTTATCGACCAGCTAACATTTATCATCGACGATGATGCAAATTTATAAGTAGGTTTTTATTATTGAAAGTAGGTTTTCCTTAGCAAATCTCGAAGTAAGAATCTAAGAGAGGTACTTTAAGTAGGTGATAAACACCTCCGCTGTTGCAGCTGTACCAATGACCAAGGTGCCTACATATACTGTAAATGTAGTCCAGCTCCATTGCCCATATCATTAACCCCCCCCCTCTCCTCCCCCGCTGCAGATCATCAACGGCTTGTCAGAGGTACTAAATAAGTACGATGTTGTGCTTGTCGACCAATACGGTGTGCTGCATAATGGCACCGTCTCCTACATCGGTGCTGTCGACTGTTTCAACCAAATGATCCAGGCTGGGAAGCAGGTGGTACTGCTCTCCAACACAGCACAGCGCTCCAGTGGTCTCCCCTTCAAACTGGAGCGCATGGGTTTCTCTACAGACTTCCAAGGCGTCACTGGTGGAGAAGTGTGCCACGACTATCTGCTCGAGCGTTGCGACACACATACGTGCTGCTCACTCATGACTTCTGACCTGGACGGCAGGGTTGCCAAGCGTGCCTCGAATCCTGAATCCATTTTCCACGGTCTGGATGTGGAGATAGTGCCGCTGGACAAGGCTCACTTCCTCATGGTGGAAGGCACGCAACAGGTCTGTTACAGCGACCAAGTGGCCGAAGTTTTGCCCACCGACTACCGCCACACGGGCGAAGTCAACGATGCCATTAAGGAGTTTTTGCGCGGCGGTCTAGAGCGCAAGCTCCCGCTGCTGTGTCCGAACCCGGACGTGCTGGCTGTTGTTGCCAACGATCGTTTCGTGCACATGGGAGGCGGTATTGCCAAGCTGTATGAGGAAATGGGTGGCGAGGTCGTTTACTTCGGAAAGCCAATGAAGGAGCACTTTGAAGTATGTTTGCGCCTGGCGAATGTGACGGATAAGTCGAAAGTCGTACATATTGGAGACTCCCTCCACCACGACATCCAGGGTGCAAAGAACACTGGTGTGGATAGCATCTTCATTGCTGGCGGTGTTCATGCCAAGGAACTGAGTGTAAACTCTTGGAGCGACGGTGAAGACGAGCTCAGAGTGAAACCAGATCTGCTGGCTAAACTGCTGGAGAATACCCAACTAGACCCGACGTACACCATGTCGCGCTACACCTGGTAAATCTGCTCCGTTTTGAAGTTTTTCTGCTCGTCTGAATCGGTGTGCAACGGCCACTAATCAATTTCAACAGCTCGTGGTATCCTTTCTGATAACCTTTTGGGGGCTTTCAAGAATTTTAAAGTGAAGCCATTTTTCTGGCTCAGCGCTAAGTAGGCTTGCAATATATTGCTCAGGGGTTCATTGAATCAGTGCTCCTCCGGTTTCTTGGCCAAATTCAAAAGGTTGTCCATTTACGGTAAGAGCACTTGAAAGCGCCTACAGGGGACATTCAGCTAGCAGCACTTTGAAAACATAAAAAAAATCGGCGGTGTATGCTGTTACATACTCATTCCATAAATAGTTCGTGTATTGGACGATATGTGAGTCACATATCGTCCACATACGTCAGGAACACACGTTTATACACGATAATTTATTCTGTCGCGGTAAATTACCAAATCGATATAAGTAAGACAGAAGGTTCGCCACATTATTAAATGAGGCAATTTCAGTGTTGTGGAATGATAATTGAGGTACATGTACAAATGACTGTTAAGTAAGGAACTTTCAACTGAGAGATACATTGATGGATTGGCTAGTGTTGTCAACTCCGACTTCCAACTTGTCCGTCATCTCTGTAATCGATGATACTAGCCAAAAAAGCGAAGGTCTTTGTCGGGAATCCCGACAAAGGAATAGAGTCGACGGAGACCTTGGACAAAGTATGCTAGTCGAATACTCTGAAGCAAAACTTGATTTGAATTCGTCACGATGCGGGTGCTGATGTAGCTTTCCATGTAGTAAATGACGATGACTCCACAGTTATGCCCGTCTTCTTGGCGGATATTGTCGGCTTTCTTGATTGTGTAGTCTGCATATTTTTCTACTTAGAAGCGGTGCAAGATACGACTTGCATGTCTTGGATAAAAATGAGTAGGTTGGTCGATGCTGCATGGGATCGAGTTGAATGATGTATTTCTTGTTGAAATCAACAATCAAAAGACACCAGTGCTTGTTTTCAATGGCAATTGGAATAAGTATCATACCCGATTGCCGATCAAATACATCACAGAGCCTCTCGTTCAGATGAATCTCCTGAGGCTGGATGAGTTCAAATCCACGTACACGATATCACTTCGATCTTGAGTCATCACTTGTATAGCAAGTCGAATGCACATGTCATTAAGCCACTCCTTGCTGCGAAACGCCAGAAGCTCGTATTCGAAACACACCTGCAGCAGCGACGAACCATGTCGTTATAAGCACATGCTGTTACATACCATCACATATTCACATACCGAAAACAAGTGCATAACTCTTCGTCGCGGATCTTTATCAAAGCATACACAGATGCCTCTCGCAGAGCCGAGGTTATTTCATCGACACGGTCTACAGCCACTG